GTTTTATATATTACAACTTGTTTTAAACAGTTATTATTCTAACATGGTAAAATAGGATTTAAAAATAAACCTCTAATGCCTTCCTCTTACATCTCTTTTTCCCAATAAATGTCTTCATAAAGAAATCTGAAATTGTATAATAGGTGTTTTGAGATTAAACCTTCATACATTCTGTGGACATGTGGGGTGCTTTAAACTGTACAAGGGTTCAATGTGTGTTCTTACATTTTGTCTACAGGTCCTAAGCAGACCGAGTGTTGTATGAATTATACAGATCATGTTTTGAAAACGGGAAACCTCAAGGACACTTTGAAGTAAACATTAACATTTGAATTATTTATAATACATTGTGTGTGTGTGTGTGGGGGGGGGTATTTTTGGGGGAATTAAACACTTGACTGTTTTCTACATTAATAAAAGGATGTAAATCGTTAATATTGTGTTAATATTTTTGCATTCTACTCCCCAAGAGACATTCGGACTCTAGAGAAGGTTCTAGAGGAAACAGAGGTGAATGGGAGCATGCAATTGTATGTAAAGACTTTTGTCGCTCTTCTGCACAAACCCAGTGGTCCCTTCGGAGGCCTTGAAATTTATGCCAATGACACAAAGGTAAAAAAATAAAAAATATTCACACGATCTTATTGAACAGTAGTTTGTAGTCAGACTCCACATGTAGTCAGAAATACCTTCCAAGTAGTGATGTACAGAGCTGATATTTAGATCCAATGTTGAGCGTGAGTCAGGCATTGATGACGACCGGCTTATTTAAGATCTGATCCACTGTATTCAATCTAATGTTGTTCTGTTCGAGGTAATTTTAGTGAACGTAATCTAAACTAAATATTTTTCTATTCTTGGCATGTTGATGCTGATACAGGTAACACCAGATGTGCCTCTTCTCAACAGTAAAGTCATTGTCCAGCTGCCAAGAGAACTGAGTGCTGGACCGAATAACAAGATTGTGTTCTGCATGTTTAAATGGCCTGAAACAAATAAGGTCAAGGTAAACTACACTTCTTATTTAAAAACATGTAGAAAAAGGATGTGGTGAGCTATAGAACAATACGATCTTTGTATTTACACATTAAATTTAAACTACTGCTCATGGAGCTTGTGGGTTTTGCTTGTTTTAGTCTAATAAAATAACATTTGTTTATTTTTTTTTCTTTTTCTTTGTCAGGTTATATATTTTTTTTGTTTACCACTTGTTAGGAAATGTACTCCTGTTTATTTTCACATCATTATAAAGGTGTTTTAATCAAATTTACATGTCCTTTTAAATTTACATGAAGGGGTGTATACACATGGCATACAGAAAAAACAATCAGATTTTAAAATCCCAGCTTAACAAGCCTATCAAGCTTACTGTCACCAGCTACACCCAACAGCCAATAAAATTAAACCCAATCAGCTTCTGAATTTGCTGGATGCTTGAATTATTTGTCTAGTGGGGGATTTGTACTTTTTAGCAAAGTGACATTATTTTATTAACACATAAAATGTAAAATTAGTAAAACTGTTAAACCAGCTGACAAATTTGCATTTTATTGTAGAGCGTTGAAAGACCACATGAAGTATATGATCAAAGACTGGTTGGTCTGAGTGTGCAGGACAAGAACATATCAGGTCTGCAGGAGCGCATCAACATCACGATGGAGTTTACCAAGGATATCGACGTAACTATGCTTTTTTGAACATTTATTTCAGTCTTACCTTCTGTAATTTAATTGCATAATTAGTTGACACATATAATATGCTCTACATTTTGTACAAACATGAAATATGTTTGTGTCATAGGAAACTCAAAAACCCTCGTGTCAGTTCTTTAATTATTCAACATACAGTAAGTAACGAGTATCACATCTGTCATGAACAGTAATGTACACTGCTCAAACATTAAATAACGGAACACCTTTTAATCAGAGTACAGCAACAAGTCAGTTAATCTTATGGGACACATTACCCATTCCACTTGATTATAGATATCCATCACGATTTATTCCCCCCTGAAAATCTAATGTTTCCAAAGTGTTCCTTTAATCTTTTTTGAGCAGATTAGCGCAACAATATTTTCATAAGTTAGACTCATTGTGGTTTGTGTTTTCACTCATGTCCACCTAACTGAGCTGATGTTCAGAAATGTGATCTTTTGCGTAATGGATCTGTTTGGTTTGCTTACCAGCTTTTAGTGAGGATGGCTGCCTCACATACTGGACACGTGGTCAGACTAACATCACCTGTTCCTGCAACCACCTCACATACTTTGGTATCCTCATAGTAAGACTGGGCTCATTTATTATGTAAAGAGGCCATTGTTTGTCCATTGTTCTTCACTTCCATCAACAAACACTTATCAGCAAACACTTATCTGAACTGCCTCAAACTTTGCAGCTTCACAAGGACATGCCAGACCATTACTCACTTTACCTTAATTCTGCCTTCAAACAGGCTTTTCAAGTGGTGTTAGGAAAGAGACCGCAAGCTAAAATTACACTGCAAAGTTTAGTCATACTAATGGGTTTAAAAGTCACACAGCTTCTCAGAAAGATAACTTTTTACAATATCTTATTTAGATCTTCAGTATCCTTTAACCCTTCGTGATGAAAGGTTGAGACCACAAACCACAAAATTGCACAGCTACATTTGGTAGCCGTGCACGCTACCACACACACACACACACATACGTGCGCACACAGAGCAACTGACTGCTTGCATGTGAGGTCTTTAGAAGTAATAGTTATAGTAACTAATACACAGGTTACTTTGCATTCATTGAGTTAGTACAACTAAAGAAGGAAAAAAAAGAAAAAGCATCTTTTATATGTTAGCAAATCTCTTTCAAATCTCTTTTCTATAAAAAAAATCTCTAAATAGAGACATTCACTTAATTTCAACATTTTCCCTTTCTTTATAGTTCAAGAAGATCATATCTTTATTAATCTTTTTGAACTGTTTTATCTTTGGTCATTGCTTTAATTCCATATTCAAACTGTTCTACAGTTTCACTCCATGCACAGAAACAAAAAGCTTTTTCTTGCAGTACACACCTTCCCTATATTGAAGTTACAAAAACCCCTTAAATTATAACTTATTTCCAAAAAACATACTCTGAATATTATTGCAAAAATAGTGAGTTTGTATGATCCCCATAAGCTGCATTGTGGATGATTCGAACAACTTTTTTTGAAGAGTACAAAGTGAATGTAAAGTTTTTCATCCATTATTTTCCCCAGTAATCAATTTTCACTGACTCTTTCAATATCAACACCAGTACTATTTCCAAATAACATAATTTTAGTTTTATTCAAATTTAATGATAATTTGTTTTTATCCAGCCAGAACTTCACTTTACTTATTTCATTAGTCATATGATCCAATAAATTCTGCTTCCATAGTGTTTCTGTTTTTTTGTTTTGTTTTTTAAGTGTTTGATGCGCTCCGATGGCACATGCATGGGGTTTGGTATACAGCCTTTTGATTCTCTATTTCCTATCTTTCTCCTTTCATAAAATCACATTTGCCAGCATATAAAATCTGCAGTTTAATGTATTTTTAATTAGTGAATATCTATGTAGTTCATGTGGTAATGAAAATATGTTGTTATAATTTTGTTGCAAAATCAGAATCATTTATCATTTAGAATCATTTATTTGGCCAAGTTTGTGCGCACAAACAAGGACGGTTCACTTTGCTCTCTGCATGCAAAGGAAAAACAACATTTTTGCCATGTTACGGCTCTTCTATATAATAAATACACCGTTTAACCTACACATTCACTGAGTGTCAAAATTATGCATACAAATAAAATAACAAATATAATTTGTTATAATTGTAGATACATTTGTTGTGCATTTTCTTCTTTTCCTTCTTTTCAGTTTGGTGTCATTCTTGATGGTGCCACTAGAAGACACCAAAGTAAAAAGATTTCTTGTACAGAATTCTACCTTCACCTGCTCTGCTCAACGTGTTTTCATTCAAATTACTATCCTGCCATCCTTGAAAACAGCGCCAAACTGTAACAGTGCTGTCTGTTATTGTATGCCTTTCCTGTATTGCAGCAATGTTGTATTGGTTGCTCGTGCTTGACTACCTACACTTTGCCTACCTTAATTCTGTGTATTTCATTGCATGTTATTGTCTGTTGTTATGTTATGCTTGTTATGATTGTATAAAACATATTTAGTTAATGCTTTATTTTATTTTTCAGATGTATTCAGCTGTTCTTTTAACTTTCTTTTTAGCCCTGCCCCCATTTTCTTCAAGGCACTTGTACCATCAGAAATAAAAAAGCATACATAATAACTTAACAGGTTAAATAAAGTTACATTTGCAGTGTAAAAAAATAATAAGTAAGACAAGTATTTGCTTCCAACATGTTGTACCTGTTGGTCTGTTGACCTGTCATTGAGCAGAAGGTGAAAAGGCTTCTGACTAATTGTTATAATACAAATAGTGAAAGATGATATAAACATGTGTTTTTCTCCACAGATACCTGATCCTTCCATCACAAAGAAAGACCAAGAGATTTTAACACGCATTACTGTGATTGGCTGTAGTATTTCCCTTTTTACTTTGGTCATAGCCATTTTGCTCTTTATTACAAACAGGTAATAAATTCATTTTTTCATATTCTTCCCATCTTCATCAGTCCTTCCTCTTTCACATTTTTAGTACATTCTGTAATCTGATTTGCCTCTGCTGTTGTCCTCTTTTCTCAAACATCCTCATACCTTTGACATATGACTAGCATGTTTTTATCTTTCAGTTGCCTTAAAACATACTGAAATCTTCCTCCATTCACTGGCATTCACTGATCTTCTTACAGCAAATGCTATTGTTACTCTATAAATAACTCTTCATCATTTCTTTCTTCTCTCGTTATGGTCTACCATTCCTCCAGTTGTGATACAGTATGTTAATTATCACAGATCAATTCTCTGTGTGACAGGAAACTCAGACAAGATGTCTCTATGAAGGTCCACATCAACCTTGTAATTGCCCTGATGCTCCTCAACCTGCACTTCCTGCCCAGTCAGGCAGTGGCAGCAGGGTCTCCCTCTGGACTTTGCTTATACATGGCTCTTTTACTTCATTATTCCCTGCTGGCCACTTTCAGCTGGATGGCCTTGGAAGGTTTCCACTTATATCTTCTCCTGGTCAAAGTCTTCAACATCTATGTCAAGAAATACCTGCTCAAACTCAGCGTGGTGGGATGGGGTGAGTGGAATCAATTAGGGAGGGAGCTGTCATTATCAATCTGGGTGTAGATATTAATTAATTAATTTTGATCAAGGTGTCCCTGCCATGATTGTGTCAGTGGTGGTGATCATAGACAGAACGTTTTATGGCCTTGCCCCTCTGGACACATCTCACTCCAGTACTGCAATGTAAGATTTGCCAGCATGTAAAAACAAGAATAATGATTCACATTTTCAAATTTACTTATTAACTGTTTTCCAATCAGAGTTTCTGTAAACATGCATGTTGGAGAAGCAGAAAGCTCCTTTTCACCAAGCATCTAATTTGCTAAAATTGAAACATTATTTCCTTTTTAGCTCTGGTGATGCTTTAACTGCACTACCTGCATTAATGTGTCTTTTACAGAACACATTGTTGATTTTTCAATTTTAGAGTTAAAACAAGATCTGTTCTTTCTTTTTAGATGTTATATAACCAATGACAAGGTAAAGTGGACTACAGTGGTACTGTTCAGCTTGGTGTTCCTCTTTAATGTAATCATGTTTGGGGTGACAGTCAGACAAGTTTTTATTCTCCACCACACCAGAGAGGTAATTCTCTAGTCTTAAAAAAAATATATATATAAGTAGTAATCCATCAGTGTATTCATTGGAAACCGTAAATTAGCAATGAAGTGTTTGTTGTTTTTTTAAATGATAATTTAAGGTCTCAAGTCAAATTTAAGATTGTGTGTAACCTGCTATGTCATTTTATATTTGGCAAATCAGTTTGGGCAGAATAACCTTGACAAAGCAAAGAAAGATATTTGTACCCTGGCTGGAGTCATGACTCTGCTCGGCATTACCTGGGGCCTGGTCCTTTTTTCATTCGGTCCCCTGACCACTCCTGCCCTCTACCTCTTCTGCATCTTGAACTCCCTGCAAGGTCTGTAAACTCTCTCTCTCTCTCTCACACACACACACACACAGTTGAGTATGTGGGTTCTGGCCGGCTCTCAATATCTCTGTTCCTTGACACGGATGAAACTGATGACAAGGCTTGCTTTTCTAGTAATTGAGCTGCTGCCTCGCAGCATCACAGTGATTCCACCAAACGTTGTCACCCATGGTGCAGCAATCAGCACATCATTCGCTGTGTTTGCTCCACATTTTCATGCCATGCCTTAGGCAAAATCAGGACACATTGCTGAACATAACGTTCCTCTGCATGTTCAGGATCCAGTGCACATGTTGCTGACACCAGCTTAAACAGGCCTGACTGTGAAGTTCAGTCATGTTAAGCCCTGTGAGTCTGGAGATTGACTGTTTGCAGCCTATTCAGGATTGCCTGGGTAGAGTTTTGTCAGCCATATTGTCCTGCAAAACTTGACTTGGATCTGTGGAAGGCTGTCTGCGGGTCCCAAGTGCTGACAGGGAGAGGAAACAGTCTTTTTGTGGTGTCCTCTTCTTTGGATGCCCACTTTGTTTGGTGTTTTTTTATGGGTGGACACACATACTCAACTCTGCTGCTTAATACAAAAATCCATTTTCATTATAGATACCATTTAGGAGGAAATAGTAGTATAAGATTTTTTTTTATTACATTTTACATAACATTAAAAAGGAAATCTCACTAGAGTTAAATTTGACACAGATGCATGATTTTAATGAACTCATCTGTTTCCCATCTAAACCTGTACATCTCTCTCTCCTTTGTGACTGCAGGTTTCTTCATCTTCCTTTGGTTTGTGATGTCACTGAGAAAGGCTAAAACCTCGGCTACTAAGATGAGCAGTGAAACACGCAGCACTAACGGCTAGTTTAAACACTAGTAGCAACAACTTAATAAGAGTCTGTGTGTGTTGGTATAATTCATATTGTAATACGGTGACAACATGATTATGTCCTCTTTAAATCATGATGTTTATTTATACAACAGCACATACAACAGTTTATTTATACAAGGCAGGTGAGCGAGTGTGAATATTAATGTTATGTTTGAAACTTTATTGATGAAATACCTAAAATCTTTGTGGTGAGGAATTAATCTCTCCTAAGAGCAACTTAGAGGATGTGTTCACTTTGCATTGTAAGCTTTTCTATATAGCTTATAACCATATGGTTTATAATTTATGGCTCCCATATTTCCAACAACCATATCCATAATCACATACTGTGTATGCTACCATTGTATATAGTGTATTATCTTACTTATTTTATATTTGTTTCTATTTTATTTGTATTTTTTGTATTTTCCTTCAGCTATCTGTACCCGATAAAGCAAAAGTTTTGCCCCCGTGGGATCAATAAAGTCTTATCTTATATAAATATATATGTACATTATAAATTTGTATCCGAACATATATTCTTGTATACCTGTGTTCCCAATATTAAAAGCATAATGCTGTTACTGCGTGCTTGTTTTGCTGTTAATAAAACAATTCTGTTTTACTTAGTTTATTACTAACAGAAGTAACGTTAAATCAATCAGATCTAAAAACAGTTCCAACTTGATTCCTTAAAATCAGCTGATTTTTATTTATTTGTAGAATACCTTTGTAATGTAATGTAGCCAGACAGAATTTTCCTTTCATAAACTAGTAAAATTTAGAATTGGAGCCATCTAAAGCCAAAATCTTGTTTCATTCCCTCACATCCTTTTTGTCTAAACAACTTTGAGCATCAACATGGGATGTATCACAGTTTTAGTATAAAAACTGCACCATTTTAACACCTGTAATACCATTAGTTAATATAAACAAACAAATATGTACGCTAGCTATTTGAACTTTAAGATAATTTATTGGAGAACCTTTCAAAAGGTACATTATGGGTGCAGTCCCAAAAGTCACATCACCAATATCCTGACCGAAATTAATTATGACATTTTTTTTATTTTTTACCTACTTTTGATATCATGCCAATATTTTAATTCTCTCTGTATCTAAACAGTTTTCTAATATACTTTTATATGTGAGTCCGCAGTGGCCGTCCAGCCTTCTGATTCTGCCATTTCTTGATGAATTTTAAACAAATGGCAGAATTTCAAAAATTGTGGATGTGTGTCTGTCTTGGCCCTGTGTAGACATTAACCTGCACAGGCTTTGGTTTGAACCACAGTATTTCTTGTCTGTTGGTACAGGGCATTTTATATACAATCGAGTCTTGATGCTTCAAGCAATCCCACTGGTCCAGTGGAGGTGCTGTGGGAACTCTCTGCTGGCAGTGAAGTTTGCCTCCCATGCTTCCTGGTCTTGTGTATTCTTATTAAGATAGAATTGAGGATTAACCCACTTTCCATCACTCTGGGGTGCATATTTATGTCCTCTGTCCTGCTTTTACATTAAACTCAAGTTTAGTGATAGTCTTTTAGCAGGAGACCGAGCTGGATTGCGAAACAGAAGGTGAGCATTTATTTGGCTGGTGGCAGGAGATAAACATGTAAATTAAGAAAACTATGAAAAACATGAAAAAGAGATAATTATGAAAACTATGACAACTATGAAATCCTGTGATAACTATGACAAAGACTGAGACAACTATGTTGTGTACAGACGACCTGACGATGACAGAGCGAAAACAGACAGAATAAATATACACAAGAGGTGATCATAGCAAGTGGAAACACATGAGGAAACAGCTGACACATGATGACACCACAGGGGAAGTATAAACTAAGCACATGCAAGGAATACATTTGCAAGCATGTAAATCGTATACCTGTTTACTGTTTTGCATTTACATCAGAGTTTCTGGATCTTTGCATGTTTAAATAAGGATGGTGCATGCACGCATGCATGAGTCACATGCATAATTAACATTTTCTATTAAGAATTCATTTTTCATTGTTTCAGTGTGAGGGATTATATCATCAGTCATCATCCCCTCTATTTCTTTGTAGATGCTAGATGCCTGTCACGAGGCTCAGATGGTGACTAAGGTAGTGTTCAGGTGGGTTGTTCTAGGTTGTTCTCTGTTTTGTGATCATCCTTGAGATGACAATTACATGGTACATGCTAATGTTGTCATCCTTATGTATTGAAAAGTATAGTTATATGTAACATTTTCTCCATTAGTATACCCCTATTTGCTCATTTTTATTATTGACCACATCTTCCAGGATACACACACTTGGTGATAGGTTGTCGAATCTGTCAAAACAAAAAGTACCAAGAGCATCAAGCAGCAAGTTAAAAAGAACCGATAAAAAATGTGACACTATTGATGTATTGTGATGTGCAGACAACAATATTTTCCTTGAATGGCAGTTTTAGCAGTCACTCTTGAAACACAATTTAATGTCTGTTAGTTTCA